TTGCAGACAGCTCTGGTCATTTGCATCCAATTTGGGGACACAGATAAACCTCCAAGTGGCCTCAATGACCCTCCAAAAAGAAGCAAATGACCAGCTGTCTGCAAGGAATATCAATCCTTTCCTTCCCCACTATCCAGTTCAGAGCTGAAGAAGCTTCTTGGACGAGAAGTGAAACGTCTTCAAAGAAAAAAACCAGGAAATCTAGTTGCCTCCTGAAAAAGCACCTTTAGAACAACAACATGACTGGACAACTGAGAATCCCTATAAACCTTTAGCCACAGGGATGCTGCAAAAGTCATAAGTGTGAAAAATGGTCATAAGTCACTTTTTTCAGTGCCGTAACTTTGAATGGTCACTAAATGAACTGTTGTAAGTCAAGGTCTACCTGTATATGGGGGTGGAAGTTACCTGGGCTCCAGGACACGTATGAATTCTGCAGCAGTTCAGGAAAATCTTTAACGCCGGAGGCTTCCAGGCCGTGTGTACCCAGAAAGAGGCAGCTTTGGGGGCCTTGAGGGGTCTCCGAGTTTAATTGTTTCCTTGCAGACCAAAGTCCCTGTTGGTATGATCTATGATCTGGTAGACCTTGGAGTTAGACATGCATGTTTCTATTTTCAAAATACGCCAAGATGACCTCAGCAGCTTCCTTGAAATACAAGCCAACTTTGTGCGCAGAGCCCATCTCTCTCCCTCTCTCTCTCAATCTCTCTCTCTCTCTCTCTCTCTCTTTCTCTCTCTCTCTTCCTCTGCCTCTCTGCCTCTGTCTCTGTCTCTGTCTCTCTCTTCGTCTCTCTCTCTGTCTCCATCTCTCTTTCCCCCACTCCTTCTCTCTGTCTCTCTCTGTCTCTGATGTTTCTCAGTCTATATATCTGTCTCCATCTCTCTCTCCCACATTCCTTCTCTCTCTCTCTCACACATTCCTTCTCTCTCTCTCTTTCCCCCACTCCTTCTCTCTGTCTCTCTCTGTCTCTGATGTTTCTCAGTCTATATTTCTGTCTCCGTCTCTCTCTCCCACATTCCTTCTCTCTCTCTCTCTCACATTCCTTCT